CTCACCATTTCATAAACATCTCTGCGTGCCAGCCCCTGGCCTTCTTGCATATGTCAAATCATTTTACTCCTGTGAGGTGGGGATTACTTGCCCGGCTTTCCGTATTAGGAAATTGAGGTTCAGAGAGGCTGAGAGATTTGGCCAAGATCTCAAAGCTAATCAGGAGAGGATCAATTCAGGGCATGAGATAAGCTACAGAAAATGCTGCACCCTTGAGACCACAGTGTGCCTGACCCAAGACACCTCTGGATGCCTTTCTGCTTTGGGGCTGAAGGGAGTCCTGCCTACATGTTAGGTGAATGCGTATGATCTTCCCACTGATGGGATTTCTAAATTGAGTGATTGGATAACTTAGTTCTGTGCACATGTGCTTGCGCCCAACGTTGGCCTTTGTCCCAGTTTCCTGTTCCCTTCCTCCACTGCACATGAAGGCCAAGTCCGGACTGTCAGTCCCTGTGGCCTCATTTGTCTGCCACAGATGTCTGGGCAGCTGTGGGCAGCAGACCAAGACAGTGGAGAGAACACGGGCTCTGGAGCCAGGCAGGCTTTGGTTTAAATTCCACCTCTGCCATATTTTCAGGGAGAACTACTCAAGATTTTAGGATGGGGACCAGGGGCTTACAGTCAGAATCCTGTGGTCTCAGCCGGCGTCTGGGTAGCGGAGGAGGTGGGAGCCTGGGCCAGACGCCGGAGCAGGCCCGGTGTGAGCCCACTGCTGGCAGCTGGTAGCCCTCAGCTCCAGGGACACAATGTCAGGGCCCAAATACGACTCAGGTGGCCCTGTTTTTCCAAGTTCTCTCCCACACCCTGGTCTAAAACTCACTTTTAAGGCTCACGGTAACCATCCCTGGGAGGGGATGACAATTTACAATGTGATAGAAAAACAGCCTGAAATTGGGGGAAGCATTTGCATGGAGCTCACCAGAACCCACACTTTACACCTGCTCCGTGACCTGTTTTCTCGTCTTTAATGTAGAAAGTTAATGATAACTAACACGGCTGCACTGTGCACTTTCTACCTAAGTTCACACATTCTATGCTCACAATAGCCTGGTTCCCGTTTTCCCAGGGGACAGGCATGTGGGTCAGGTCACCGGCCCAGGGTCACACAGGGTGAAGGGTGAAGCTGGACTGTGAACTCGGGCAGGCAGGCGGCAGGTCCCTGCTCGGGGGCCTCTGCACCGTCCAGGTTCTGGTGGGAGTCACGAGGCCTTCCTCTTAGGTGTGAGGGCAGGAGGGAGATTTCCGGCGTCAGAAGCTTCTGGCACAAAAAGCACCAACTGAGTTAATGCTCCTTCCCTTCCTGGCCTCGTGGATCTGGGAGGAGGGAGGGCGCAGCCCACCTCTCAGCAGAGGTGCCCAGTCAGGCTCTGAGGGTGGAACGAAAGGGCGGGTTCTGACAAAGTGGTGGCAGGAGGGAGGGGAGGGAGCGCTAGAAATAGAGGTGTGTGTGCGCGAGGCCAGGGCTACTGTTTCCCTGGGGCCAGGCCTGCGCGCCAGGCACCACTATACTGACTGTGGTTCAAGGCCGCGAGCAGGGCTCTGGATCCTCCTACCCCTGGCATCACGATGTCGGCCTCAGCGCTCCTCCCGGCACCGGGAGCCCCAGATGACTGGGAAACCGCTGGTGGGGAGGAGGGGCCCCCTATCGCCCCTTCCAGCGCTGAGAGGACTGAGGCTACCCACTGGTGGGGGCGTTGGGGGAGGCTGGCGTGAGGAAATAGAGCTGTTCTGGTCCAGGCTGAAGGTAGCCCAGGCCCACGTCCAAGCGGGGGCTGCCCCACCCCTGCTCTGGCTTGAGTCAACCACCAGCAAATGGAGAGTGTTTCCCAGAACCAGAAAGAAGCCTCTGTAGGGGCAGACGGAGCCCAGCTCTCCGGTGGAAGGTCTCCAAGCCCGACGGGCATGATTCCGCCAGAACCCAGCTTCTCCAACCCAGGCCGTCCGGGTGATGGTTACTGAGGTGCCTTCATCTCTGTTTATCAAGATCACCCCGGCCAAGGCCAGGTGTACCTGGGCCAAAACAAGCAGACCTTGACCGGGCAGCATACCAATGTATCGGTTTCACCATGTTCTCTCTGAATGTCCCTCAGCTCAGTTGATACAGCATGATCTAGATGGTTTAAGATGACAGATGAACGGCCACTCCCTGCTCCGATGTTAACTCTGTCCGTGGGCACGGCCTGCATAGCCAATGCACCGCCAAGCGAGGCAGTTTCCAGGTTAACCCCACAAAGTAGACTCATTGGATCCTAGTGGCTTGGGTGTTTTGGGAGTGGTTGTTTAAAAATCCCATCCACTGCTTCAATTTGCTCTGCTCTTTGTGAGGACAGTCATAACCCCAGACTCCGGGAGAAATTAACCCAGTGTCCTTGTTTGGTTTCATCCCATGTGACCAGCTGAACCGGGCTTTTCTTGTTCAAGATTTGCAAAGGGTAGTTGGGACCCTGCTGCAATCACTGGCATTTCAGAAGGGTTCTTGAAGTGACAAAACAGTTCCCTTGCACTCTCGACGTTTTCATCACTGATGAATGTTTGTGAAGTGCCCACGCCGGGGTTGCTTGCCAGTTCTGAACCCAGATAAAAGGGATGCTTCCTTATTCTGTTGTGGGCGGCGGGGGCGGGGGGATTGTCAACTCTGTATCTTTTAACTTCTGAAAGCTGCCTTTTTCCTAGGGGAAAAAAAATGTAATTTTCTTTTGCTAAGTAAAGAGTAAAGCTTTTGCTATTGCATAGTATTTCTCCATTTATCATTTGGGTTTCCGGACAGTTCTTGCTTTCTGAAACCCTCCAATTACCTTATTTCTTTGCCCTAAAAATACTTAGTCAGAGTCAGTTGAACATCAGTTGAACCCATGATTGTGGCAACTTGTGAATTCAACAGATGGTTTCATTTTTTCCGACCCATTCTCTCCCCCTTTTTCACTCCACCCAAGAATAAATCATGCAGATACCACATTGCTGGGGTGAGTCACGGGGACTCCATCACTGACTGAGTCCTCAGCCATGCGCGGTTTAACACTGACACCTCGTGGTCAGGAGAGGCGACCGGCTCCGCCCTCACCATCTTGCACCCCTGGGAGAGCAGCGGCTGCTGGCTGGTCTTAAGGAGCAGGTGGTTAGAACAGCTTGTGAGGTCCCTAGAGGCCTCAGGGTCCTTGGACACTAAAGACCACGTTATGTCCTCTCCCGGGTGTGAGGCTCTGGGCTGTGGACTTGGCTTTTGCCTCCTGTTTGAGACAGAGAACCAGGCTGCCTCAACAAAGACAGTCCTTCCCTGGGAACTGGATGCCTGGAAAAGGTGCATGAATGGCTCCAGGCCTTTGCAGAAACGTTTAGTCAGTGCAGGAGCGCCTTTCGTGGGGCGCTGGGGTTTAATCACCTCCCCGTTCCCAGAGCCCGGCCCATTGCCTGACACTCAGTAAATACTCTGTAAAGTCTTGTGAACTGACTTCAGTTGGTTTCTGTCATCCGCGGGCGTGTGCTGAGCACTGACTGTATGGGGTCGCCGGTTCAGAGTAGGCCTCTCGAGTTCGCATAAAGGGCAGTCCCAGCTCTGACTGGAGTCAAGTTGGAGAATTAGGCCGACACAAGAGACGACACTTGATGGTGGTTTCATTGCTCAAGGAATAACACAGGCAGCAGGAGGCACCGGTGTCTGGGGGAAAGGAGAGCTCCTCCGAAGCCGTGACCTCAGGGTCAGCTTCTCTGACTGGTGGGAGTCGGGCTGGGCCTTTAAGGAAGTGATCACAGTCAAGTCCGTGGAGTACCTCCTACCCCGTAGCAGTGTGCTTTATGCGAGTCATGAACTCTCACCGCATTCATGCCGGGGATGTGTTATCATTGTCTGCCCACAGATGAGGAAGTACGGGCGCAGAGGAGTTAAGCAATTCTATCCGAGGCCGCACGGCACTGAGCAGGACCAACAGGCTTCGAGTGCAGGTGAGTCTTACTCCAGAACCCATGCCCCTTCCCCCACCGCCTGCCAAGGAGGAAAGATCTCAGAGTTTATCAGGTACATTTGTACCTTTCTTTGGGCTTAATTTGAAGCAGCTTCCAAAGCAAGCTGCTACTGCTTCTAGGAAGCCAGGGCCACGTGGGAAAGAGCTGGTGGCCCCAGGTTCTCTGAGCGCGACACTGAATGGGGTGGCAGTGGAGCCACAGGGTTACTGGGATCGAGCCCCAGACTGGCCAGCCTGCAACCGGAGGGCAGGCTGGGCTGAGGTGTGGGCGTCAGCACGACTGCTGGGCAAGGTCCTGGCGGCACCCAGCTGGTAGTCGGCATCCCCTGCCGAGCTCCCTAAAGACCTGACGATTTCAAATCTTATTATGCGGACACTTTAATAAAGAGGCCGATGACTCCAGGCTTTATATGGGAAGATCTGATGAAAATGGGGCGCCAGCAAAGCTGTGCAGGCTGATACACAGTTTAGTGGTTAAGTATACAAACAAACTGGGTTTGAATCCTGGCTCAACCACTTACTAGCTGTGTGAAATCACTTCCTCATGGGTTCCTCACCATCACACCACCATAGGGTTTTTGAAAGATGCTCAATGAGTCAATATATGAGAAACAGAATGGTACCTGGAACATAGTGCCTGCATAAAGTGGGGTTGGTGTGTTTACTCTTCTGCAAGCAGAACTTAGCAAAGGTTCAAGTCTGAATTAAGAGCCTAAATAAGGCTTAAGTAGACATGTATAGAGATACTGTTGCCCCTTGGGAAACAAACAAATCCTTATTGTGTTCCGAATAAGGTTTGAGAGTCAGCTGATGAGAGATTGCGAGATCTTCATCACTTCCAGCCAAATGGTGACCTCTAGTGGTGGTAGTACTTATTGCTGCCTTGTACTGCAGATTAAAAGGCTTGTCAGGAAAGAACAGATTGTCAAGAGTCAGGGAACTGATCTTGAGGGAGGGAGGGTGTCCTGGACCAAAGGACAGTTCTTCTGGAAATTTCAGCCACGAGAGCCCTAAGAACTGGCAGTGTAGTTATCCTGACCTTCGGAAGTCACTTCATCCCCTCCAAAGCCAGTGCTGACGAGAAAGCCTGAGAGCTGCTTGTTTTATTCTTCCGCAGAACATTCACATGGTGGGATCTTTTGAAAAGTCACACGTGCAAAGGAAAGTCTTAAAGTGTTCACCTGAAAGGATACATAAACTAGCTCAAAGGGGCTCTCATTGGCCACATTTGGGATAATTTGAGCAAAAAATTACATAATAATATTAATGAATTATAACCCACAAAATGAGTCCATAGTGATACACATGAACAAATGAATAAATGAAAAGCTCTTCCTTTCAGTGGGATTCCAACTAATACATGTAGAAGGAATAGTAGAATTAGAAAATTGTTTTCAATAAATGTTTCTGGCAAAATTATCAATGTATGCCAAAATTAGCAGTCAGAATTATGATGAAAAATATATCTTAATGTATCTTATCAATTACAAAGGTTAAAATGGTAACATTTAATTAGAGGACACTGGCAGACACCTCCCTAACTGATGACCAAACTTAGCACCATCAGTGCTAACAAATCGACATGACAAAACCTCACCTCTGTTGTATTCCTGCCCCAAACACAAAACCCAAATCTAACCGCAAAGATATATCACACAAACTCCAATTAAGGGACATTCTACAAAACCACTGTTTTACACCAGGAGGGAGGAGGGAAGGAACCCTGTAGCAACAGACCAGATTCAGAGGATTCATACAAAAAGGTGTAGAAGCAATGACATTACAATTATCAGAGTTTGATGGCTCACTAAGAGGAACCTATACTTCTTAGGGGAGTGGCTCATTCCTGGGTTGAAGCAGAGAAAGTACCAGGTGAGCCTGGATAATTTTGTTGTACAGGAAAGTAATGTGATGCCCGCAAACTAAGTGGGGGGTGGGGCATATTGAAAGATCAAAGGAGCTGGCTCACAGGAGTTTCCACTGGCCTAATCTGGAATGCTTTCAGCATCATAAAAATGATAGGAACAAATTACAACACACTGAATTTTAAAAACTGGTAAATCCATAGATACTTTTAAAAATTAAAAAGAGGTGGAGAAGGGAAAGATTTTTTTTTTACAGAAAAATGTTTAAACAAACTTGAAATAGAAAAATCACCATCTTCCAACCACTATGGCAAAAAAAAAAAAAAAGACAAAAGCAAAAGAACTTGATTCAGGCAAGACCTTTAATGGATGCTAAAGCCACTGGTAAAAACTCTCAAAGAACAGGAAGTTCACACAGTCTTCATGTATAACCCCAGAGTACAGATTAAAGTTACCTCTATAGTGGAGGCGTTTGGCGGACACCGCCTCAGTCAAATGGTCAAACTTAACATCACCAATGGTGAGGCAAATTGATGTGAGCGCTCTTGGTGATACCCTGGAACATGGTATCATCTATGTAGTATGCCTCCCAAAAATGTACAACATGAACCTAGTCACAGGGAAGTTTTTAAATGAATGCATCCTAAGAGATATCCAGCTAAATACGGTAGGTAATCTCTGGTTGGATCCTGTATCAACCAACCCACTCACAGGTATAAAAAACATTACTACAAAGGTCTGGAGCCAAATACAAACTGTGTATTACAGAATTGTGTCAGTGTTAACTCTCCTGAGTGTGATGGCAGTTGTGACTGTGTAGGCAGATGTCCTCAATCCTTGGTGTTACATGCTAAAGTACTTAGGGGTAAAGTAACTCAAATAGTCCAGAGGAAAGAGAGAAAAAGAAAAATGTATGTCTGCATACGTAGGCATAGAGATATGAAGCAGGTATAGCAAAATGTTAACTATTAATGAATCTTAGGTAATGAGTATAAGGGTATCAGTTGTACTACTATTAAAAATTTCCTTAGACGTTTGAAATTTATCAAACTGTAATAGTGGGAAAAGAAAATCTCCCCCAAACAAAAAACAGACAAAAGTATCAGAATGATGACAGACAGACTGAGGAACTGTTACAGATGGATGGAGACTAAAGGCAACATGTGATTAGATTGGACTAGGAAAAGGTAGGAAAATGGGCAATATTTGAAAAAGGTCAATAGATTATAGTTTGGGGCCAGTTATGTTAATTTCCTGACTTTGGTAACTACATTGTGGCTGTGTAAGATTAATGCCCTTGTCTCTAGGGAGTATGCACTGAAATACTTACCGGGAAAGGGACATCATGACTGCAGCTTCCTCTCAAGCAGAGCAGAAAATCCATTACGTAGACATACATGTGGAGAGAGAATGGGGGGAGAAAGCACATGTGGTCACATGTTAACACCTGGGGACTCTGAATACAGGAATTATTTGTAGGATTTTTGCAACTCTTTTATGTATGATTATTTCAAAATGAAAACGTTTTTTAAAATGTTGACTCGTTTCTATTAACATCATTTTTCCTGTGTCACTGTAGTGAGTTGGATAGTTACCCCCTAAAAAAATTCATGTCCACGTAGAACCTTAAAATGTGACCTTATTTGGACAGCATGTCTTTGTAGATGTCATCAGTTAAGGTCGTGCTGGTTTGGAGTGGGCCCAAAATCCAATGCCTGGTGTCCTTGTAAGAGGGGAGGACACAGGAAAAGGCTGCAGGAAGATGGAGGCAGAGAATGCAGTGACGCAGCTACAAGATACCTTAGTCTGAAGCCTCTGATGATGTTAATAATGATAATACCATTATTATTTAACATTCACCTCAAGCCTATCATGGCACTAAATGCAGTTACATTATTTCCGTTACTCATAGCATCTGAATTCAGCAGGTTCAATGACTTTCTGCAGATGGGAAATGGAAGCTCAGAGTGGTTAAGTAGTGTGTGCAAAATTAGCCTGCTAGTAGGTAGAGGGGCTAAGCATTGACCCCAGACAGTCTGACTGCATGAGCCTCACCATTTCCAGTCCAGTATTATTGTTCATTACTCCCTGCATGAGCCTCTCCAGCCAGAACAGACACATCTGGTTTCTCCCAGAGCACCCTCCAAGCTGCTCTGAATCTACACCTAGAACCTTGCCTCGGTAGGACACTGCCTCCTCGTCCTTGTCCTATTAAATCCTTCCCATTATAGGCCCAGCCCATGTTCCCTATCCTCTATGAACTTTGCAAGGCCCCCTAGACCACAGGCGTCCCTCTTTCTTCTTTAACTCAGCCCTCAGTGTGCTGCTTGCTTGGCCCTGAAACATACTCAGGATCACTCTGGATGTATTTGGCTTTTTAAAAAAAATGGTTTTGTCTTCACTTGGGTAGCAAGTACCCTGCAAACAGATATTAATTGTAAGTAGGTATTTGGTATATGTCTAGACATCAAGACTTTCCCTGACCTTATTTCTCTAGGCAGAAACCCATCATGGAAGGCTTCATGAGGTATATATGCAATTACAGTAGAACCTTGACATTGGCAGTTTGACTATTTTCAAGTTGAAAGTTCATTTGCTGACTCTCAATTTCAATTGTGTATAAAGTGTAGTCTGTTACATCAAAAAGAGAACAGATAACAAATGTTGGGGAGGATGTGCAGAAAAGGGCACCCTTCTATACTGTTGGTGAGAATGTAAATTGGGGCAGCCACTGGAAAGCAGTACGGAGGTTCCTCAAAAAACTGAAAATAGAACCACCATATGATCCAGCAATTCTACTCCTGGGTATATATCTGAAGAAAATGCAAACATTGATTCAAAAAGATACATGCACCCCAGTGTTGATAGCAGCATTATTTACAGTTGTCAAGATAAGGAAGCAACATAAGTGTCCATCAACAGATGACTGGATAAAGAAGATGTGGCATATTATTATCAGGTAAAACAAAAATATGAAATCTTGCCGTTTGCAACAACATGGAAGGACTTGGAGGGTATTATGCTTAGTGAAATAAGTCAGAGAAAGACAAATACAATGTTATCACTTATATGTAGAATCTAAAAAAAATAAACTAGTGAATATAACAAAAACAGACTCACAGATACAGAGAATAAATTAGTGGTCACCAGTGGCGGGGGGAGTGGGGAGGGGCACAGGTCGGGGAGGGGATTAAAAGATACAAACTGTTATGCATAAAATAAGCTACAAAGATATACTGTCCAACACAGGGAGTATGGCCAGTGTTTTATAATGACCATAAATGAAGCACAACCTTTAAAAATTGTGAATTGCTGTTGTACACCTGAAACTGATACATCAACTACACCTCTGTTTCTCTCCCCTATATATGTAGACATATATATATATTTTTTCTATTTTTATACGGAAAACACAGCTCAAAAACAAATATAGTCTGTAGGGGTGGAAAGCTTGGCTAACCAATTTCAACACTAGTCTTGGTTGCAGTTATGAGTAAAACTTGGTTGGTTTGGAAAGGCCCACAAGAATAATGCATTTGAGCAGGAAATTAGTTTTGTCGTTCCGGGTGGAATATTGAACCTCATGGTGGCTTAGATTTATGATGTACCTTGTGTGCTGTACAAAGATCTGACATGTCATATGCTCTATATAGAAACTGGAAGGACCCATCTGTGGAACTTCCTGCACGTGCTCCAACGGCGCAGGAACCGCTCAGGTGAGAAACTGCTGATGAGGAAGGTGAACTGCGTTACGCTGGGTCAAGCGGGGGCGAGGTGCTGGGCACGGCGGACGGGCTGGTTTGCAGCTGGCCCTGGAGCCTGGACGAGCGATGCCACACTCACAGCTTTGGGGACGCGGGCAGGTCTTGGACCATCCTCTGAGATGTCAGGGGTCTTTTGAAAGGACCAGGCAGATAATATCAATGAGCAAAAGGAGCAGGATTCAAGAAAAACACCAGTGTCAACATAGCGATAAATGAAAACTGGCATCTGCTTCCGTGCTGCGGCTGAGGGAGCGTAGAAAGAGCTATCGTGCACCGTCATCCACGCGCCCCGCCAGAGGGCTGCTTGGTGCTAGTGGGCTGTTGCCTTAAGGGGCTGTAGATTTCATGTATTCTGATTTTTTTTTTTAAGTTGAAAATCCAGGTTGTTATGTATTTCCAATTAAAAATATTAGCGACCAGTTCATTTAAAACAAACATTAAACAAACCAGATAGCTGTGCCTGCTAGGATTCGGCCCGTGGCTCACCAGTTTGCTCCGCTCAGCTGTCGGCTAAGTGTCTGTCTGCCCCCTTTCATCTGTGAGCGCCAGGAGCCTAGAACCTTGCGCAGGGATATACACACTCATGGAAGGGCAGTTGGAAAAAGAACACATGCTCAAACTTGAAAGATGAGCGCTTAGCAAATTAGTGTGTATGAAATTCATTCCTCAATATTTACTGCATACCCAAATACAGGCCAGGCACTGTTGTAGGAATAGATAAGGGGCATATAATAATGAGAAAAGCACATCCCTGCTCCCCTCTTGAAGCTTGTATTCAATGATAAAATAAGGTAATTTCAGATTGTTGTAAGAATCAGTGATAAAGTAAACTAAGGTTATTTCAGATAGTGCTAAGCACTATGAAAAAAGCGTTAGCTAATAGTGATGGAGGGGGCGATGTTAAGAGGAGCTTATTTTCTAAATTTAAAATCTTTTTTTTAATTCTTTTTTTGGAGGGTAATTAGGTTTATTTATTTATTTAATAGAGATACTGGAGATTGAATCCAGGACCTTGTGCATGATAAGCATGCACTCTACCACTAAGCTATAACCTCCCCACAAGAGGCGCTTATTTTAGAAAGGGTGTGAAAGAAGGCCCTTCTGGAGAGGTGGCTTTGGAGAAGTGACTTTGGAGAGGGGACCTGAAGGATGAAGCCTATCACCCGAGGTCTGGGAAAAGAGCATCCCAGGCAGGGCGGACAGACAGCATGTGTAAAGGCTCAGGAACAGATGTGCATATTTCAGGAAGAGGAGAGGTTGATTGATGGAAGAGGCTGTCAAGGGTCAGATCATACACAGGCAGGGTCAGGGGTTTGTATTTTATGTAAAGTGAAATGAGAAACCATTGGAAGCATTATGTATTAGAGCAACATGTAAACGTTTTAATTAACGTTTTAAGTAGGTTGTTAGCTCCTGTTTGAAGGATTGTGACAAAGATGTACAAATAGAAATGCTACTACACATACTGTTGAGATGATAGTAGGTACAGAGGAAGGGAATTTGATGATGTATGAAAGAAGGCAGGGTAGGAATTTCCTGTCTTTAAACTGGGTTAGTATTATACTGAGCAGAGGTGGCAAGGGCAGAAGGGTCAAGAGAATAGCTGGAATTAAGGAGCCCAGGGTTGATCTCATGCTTTAATTATGAAAATCTTGTACTGTTCAGATTCAGATCTAATCTAAGTGAGGTAACATTCTGCAACAGCTGTATTTTGAATTGTGTTCATAGGAAATGTAGAATTCAAACTTTACTAAGCAGCGGAGTGTTTTGTAATATGAGTTGTTTGGATTGCAGGGGTAAAAGCAGAACCCCTTTATATCTGCCTAACCTGTATGCACAATCCTGCAAGCTAAGGCCAATTTGCAGACAAGAGATTAAGTGGCCTGCCAGGTTACCTCAGTAGAAGAGTGATTTGAGTACTGCAGAGCTGACATGGAAGCCCATGTTCTTTTCATTCCAGACATGGACAGTTTGAATGGTTACAAACGAAGTCCAGCTCTGACTTCTACTCACAGTGGCTACTCTAGGGAATATGAGAAGATTGAGGCCCATACAGTGAAAGCTGGTCCCCTTCCAGTTTTCCCAGTAGGGTAAGTGATGGTTTTCCTTATCAAATCCCACGTACATTCTTCGTCTCTCCAGCTAAACCAAGTTCACAATACGCCTATTCTTTTAACATGATTTAGTCTTAATCTTCAAAACCCTTAATCTTCATAATTATCTATTTAACCCATGGTGAGTTAAGAAATGGCTCTTAGTATATGATTTTAAGTGGAAAAATAAGGGACAGAAATCAGGTATTGGCAGTTTTTCCATTTTCATTTATGTGTGAATTTCCAATATAAATGTGGGGACATAAAGCATTAATGCAAATCAAAATGTTTCAGTGAACAAGTTTCAGCATAGCAGTTTAACTTTATAGCAATTATAAATAAACCTGTTAAAATTTTTCTGGGAAAAAAATGGCTCTTAGGACAATGAATATTTACTATACATTATCTTATTTTTGGAAAATTTCATGAAAAAACTTTAAATTTTTAAATAAAGCTTCTGTTGCAGGCTGTGGGCATTAATAATGGGGTTAATAATTGATGTAGTAACAGTGATATTTAAAGCTATAAAACAAAACTTAGAACTTCATTTTGTTTTAAAATAGAAAAGTGATTAAGAATTTCACTGGTCTTTCTTTAGGGTTAAGATACCAATTGTAAATGACAAATGTAACATTGCAAAACACAAAAGAACTTGTATTAAGAATCAAGATAATTAGGACAAATACTAAATAGCTTATTTGCAGATTTCCGGCTGTGGTGGGAAACAAAGATAAGAGAACACACACACAGACAGGACTGGGGAGCATACAGACGAAGCTGCTGAGGTGCAGGCAGTGATACACTAAGAAGGATCAGGAACGTGGTGATACCCGGTGACCAATGCAGCAATCCAGTACATAACCTGGGGCCCTAGACGTGTCAACTTCAGACCAGTGAAAAACTAAAGTTACCAAACCTGGATCTAATCAAGCCTTGAGGTCTACAAGGGACACAAAAAAGTGTTCAAGGACACGTAGGTTTACAGTCAGCCAACCCAGACTACAGAAAATTCCAAGACCAATGACCCAATTTCTTTAAATTTCAAGGGTAAAAAAAAGATGGACAGCCTGTTATTAAAACCAAATATGGACTTGTTTTAACAAACCAATTATAAAAACAAATCATTAGCGATAGTAAGGGAAATGTGAATACTAACTTAGGCATTACTGTTAAATTTTAAGTACCGTGGATATGTTTTAAAAGTCCTTACCTAATTCTTGGGGATGAAATCGTTTTCTTCCAAGTAAGAGTGGGAGGTGGAATGGTGAGTTGGTGAGGTATAAACAAGGTTGCCTGACCTAGAATTGATCAGTTTTTGGAGCTGGGAAATGAGGTACTTACTCAACATTCCCGATTAGTAAGTCTGAAAATTATGTTTGGGGAGAGCAGCACAAGGTTGTCAAACTCTTGACAAGAACCCAAAAGACAGATTCAGTTAACAGCATAAAACAAAATTAGGACACAGGGAGAAAGACATCATCCATCATCCCAAATCAACTTCTAACACACAACCCTCACCCCACATGCAGGTGTACCCCCCGTTACCTTCAGAACTCCCCTCACCCATGTGCTGTTTCCAAACAAGGATAAGGTAGGTACACATTTCTACACTATCAAGAATCTAAACAGGGCCTTGGTGTCTGCCTTCACCTTTTTCTTCAATGCCAATAGGTATTAATGAAGTTTCTCTCCTTTGTATTTAGAGGCAGTTTAACTCTTCAGAAACCCTGGTGCAGCTCAGCATATGTATCATAAAAGCACATGTAGAAAGAACACTCTAAATTATTTGTTTTTAGCAGTTGCTTACTCATTCCTGCTAAGCCATGTTAGTTTTTAGTTAGAAATGGAACTGATTTAAGTGTCATACCGGCATTTTTATATCCAAGTGAATCTGGTCTCCCTGTGAGGCTTTCTACTTTTTCCAGCCCCACCGCCCACCACTGCTGAAAGTTTGGGTATCTTCTTTGGAGTCTTCAGAAGCTGTTAAGTATTTTGTAAAACATCCTTGGGTGGCGTAAATCTTCATCTTTTTGAGTGTTACTTTTTTTGAAACAGCAACAAATCATTTGGAGCCAAGTCTAGTGGACAAGGTAAGTAGTCAAGATGCGTAAAAATTTTAATGCAAAACCTTTAACTATAAAGCAGTGAACTATTAAGGCCTTTTACATTAAGAAAACAAACCCGTGTGACTAATTCAAAACCTGTTCATCTGGCTATGACTTCTGGCTTTTTTTCCCTTTGTGGTCAGAGTTTAACAGCCAGCCAGGTCCCAAGTGCTTCACCTTGATACTGAATTCTCCTAGCCTAGATAAAAACCATTAAATACCTAAAGTTTTTTTCTTTAATGCTCAATAGTTGGCTCTGATTTGCTGTTACGCTGAAAGCTTTGGTTTGTTCACTTCAGAAATAGTACTTAAAGTTGACTTAACTTTATGGTACCATTTATGTGCAAATCGGGTTTTGACTTGAAGATTAGTTTTATGCTGTGATAAAATATTTCATGTAATACATTGTTGGGCCATTCGCATTAGCTTTTTCCATATGTACAGAAGACTTCTAGGATAGCTCCCAATGCAGGTAAGAATTACATTTTAATAATCTCAAACTATATAATGGAGGAAAGAACAGGTTTGTCAGAAAATCAGTCATTTTACTATTAAAATTTTGCTTTTTAATAATTTATTTAAATAAGATATTTGAAGCAGTTTAGAAAAACAAGATTTGTATTTTATTTATTTCCTTGTAAAAATCTTTACACATGCAGACAAACCAGTGTTAAGAAAGTATTCACCATCATTTAAACAAATAACCACTTAAATAGAACATTGTCTGCAATTTTATCTGTATAAAAATAAGATACATTTTTACAGAATTCACGCTCCAGTTCTTATAGCAATAAACAATACACAACTATAATAATTACAATTGAACCTGACCATGGTTTTCAATGTGATACTGCTAGGGCATTTTATGTGACAAAAAAAAAAAAAAAAAAAGACAAAAAAAAAAAACCCCCCAAAACATAGTTCTTTTTGAAAGAAAATGTCCTCAGTGTTTCTAGAGACCTAGAGATGGTTTTAAGAAATCAAATCCTAATCAGTTTGCTTTTAATGTTTTGATTGTGAGTGAGTCCGTACATCACACCGCGGATTGGCAGGATCAGCAGCTGATCCAGGCTCGAGGGAGAACGTCAGCGCCTGTGCCTGCTGTGTCCTGAGCGACTGCCACCGTGGTGCTTGCCTTTGTGGGACCTCTCAAAGGAGCGAGATCTTTCACGCCTGTCCCTGTGATGTCCCCTTTCATGCCTGTGTTTCTTGGCAGCATCTGAGTGATCCCGAGACTTGCTCTGAGATCGAGACCGAGACTTTTTCCTTTTATGACTGTGTCTATTTGAACTTTTTAAATCCTCTCTGGTGTGCTTGGCTTTCAGGTGAGGAGAACCATGATTATGATGCCTTCTTGGACTTTCACTGTGACTGCGGGACCTGCTTCTTGATCTTGAGCTGTATGTCCCAGATCGACTCCGCCTATTATTATAACTTAAGATAATAAAAATTTGAGGTTTAGATTTAGTTTCTACCGGTAACAGATTATTTTGGTGGTGCTCATAGGTTCAAAACAAAACTATCGACTGGTATCAATGACAGGCCAAATCTTCCCACCCCTCACTATACCTCCCCCTCCAGCGTGTTAACAGATTAGACAAATTTTTAACAAATTTACTGTATGTCTATATTCCAAAGAGGGGAGAAATTAGTTTTCACTGAGTGAGTGTCCTAGAAAGCTGTTTGTTGCATTATCTCCCCATTTGCACAAAAGAACCACGAAGAGCCACAAGTAGCTAGCCAGCTAATTATAAAGCTAACTAGTGAAGATTCTTTGGGTATGGTTGACATTATTGGTTATTAGTAACTGCTGGCCAGTCCCTACACCTCCCCAAAATACATGGATGCTATGTTTAGAAATGTCCAAAAATAGAGTGCCATACACCACCACAAAACAAAAACGCCACATACACCAGTGTATTTCCAAACTCACTTCTTACAATTTACCTCACACTAAAAGACTAAATCTAGCCCTAACTTTGGAAACAGTCTATGTGCATTTTTTAAAAAAAGCCATAACCTTTAGACTCCAAATAAGACTGCTTTCTCCAAGAAAGTATTTACTTACTGTCTTCTTGGAGTATGCGATCTAGAACGTGATCGTGTTCTTGACCTCGATCGACTTGCACTTCTGCTATTTCTACTTCTCTTGCTGTCTTTTCTTACCCTTCAAATAAAATACCATGCAATATTTTAGTTACATACTTAGTGTTAGAAATAAAGCACACGAAAGATTCCTCAGGCCAGCCTTCTAACTCAAGTATACTCACCCATTATAAGGGCTTTTGGAAGGCTGTTGTCTATCCTCAGGCTCTTTTTTGACTGTCTTCACATTAACGGAGATGGGAGACTTCTCTTCAGCTTTTACTTCTCTTGGTGAAGCTTTTTAAAAAACAGACATGTTAACTATCAGATTTTACAGACGGCCAAATACCATGTTTCAAGTATCAGTTCACAGTTGACTGTCATGAGAGAAAACATTAATAGTGTCTTAACATCATCGTTTCTATGCAACTGTTAAATGCTAAATAAAGCTTTCTAGTAACCACACAGCTTTAGGGCCCAACCCATTTCACTCCTGAATTAATCTTACATGGTTTAGAGGCTGGAGAAAATCCACCAAGGGTTGAAAGGGCTGGAGTTCCATCAGGATTCAATCCCTTTGCTTTTAATTTGGCTTCTTGTAAGGCCACTTTTCTTTTCTCTACTTCTTTCTCCAGCAATTCATAGTTTGGCTATTGGAGGAAAATGAAGTTAGTATTTCTCTTTTACAGTAGTTAAGATTCTTAGCACTGACAAGATATTAACACAAACACACACTAGAAAACAGAATTACCTTTTTTCTGGTATAAAGCCTAAGTGTTTCTATGCAGATTTCCTGGATCTCCTCTTCTGTAGTACCAAAAAGAAGAAACCAATGGGGACGAGTTGGCAATGGAATCTAAACCATAAAAACAGAATAGTTTAGATGAAATTTTCACTGTTTTTATTAAGAGAACTGATAATGCTTGTGATTTATCCTCTGGAATATAGGCTATGTATCACGCTCTATACATACATATATGCCTACCTGAAGAGCTCTAGCTGCAAGGTAGATGCAAGCACACGCTATAGTCTCTGGTTGAAATCGAACAAATACATTGGTTCGAAGACTGTCATTCATATAATTCCTGAAAAATATTTCAACCATAAGCTTTGTATGTAAACAAACCAGTTCTTCTGATGCTTACATAAAATTGGAGACTCAATCTACTTTATTCTTTTTTCTTCTCATATTTATATCTTCATATTCTAGCATACAACAATTCTTAACTCAGAAATCAGTAAGAGATAAGAATTTAACACCAGAATCATTCCTTCAGCTTTCTTATATGACCAAAGTCCTTTAAAATAATTCCATATTATTCTTCCAAGCAGAACATAAAGGTTTTTAAAAACATTTCTATGAAAAGCAATGTTCTGAAAGTTCTGACATGATTAGTTTCAGAAATGATGTACCACTCCCACGATACTTCAAGCCATTAATTATTGACCATCTCTCCTTTATCCATAATGAAAAGCAGTGTCAATCAAGTTCTTCAAAAACTCAACACTGTGAGAGGGGTAAAAAGGCATTTTCCAATAAACAGTCACCAAATTATATTAAGAAAACTAAGCTACTTCAGAAAACCTAGGCTGGGAAGTGAAGAGCAATAAACATATACAACAGCCTTGTTTACGTACCTTTTTGCGACTAAGTATAAATAAAAGCAGTAACTGTTTCAGTTAATAAGTTGCTGGACTTTTGTATTAGTGAACCCTCCCCACAATATCCCTAAAGTACTGAAGAAATTTTACTTGTTTAAAAGGTTAAACTGAAGATAAAAGACTTTCTCAAAAGTCCTTACCCATGAAAACTGCTAAAAATCTGTTTTATGGAACATATATAAAGTTTCATGCATTTTATAAAGTAGTCTATATATCTATATATCACTAACATTTATTGAGCCCCTCAAGTGGCATGGCAGGATGTAAGAATTGTATCACTTCAGTACTGCACATCAACAGTCTATGACAGAAGTTGTGGCTGGACCACAACTCGTTTTACCTTTAAATAAGTCAGCACTCCGAATCACACATTTGTATCTCCAAAGTCTAAGTTCTAAAGTGCTTATGTTAATATGAACATCTTTTAAAAACAAAGTACTTCTTTCTTCTCAATTAGCAGAGCAGCTATAAATTCATTAAGTATGGGCCTGGCGCCCATTTTAAGCTGCTGTTTTCTTTGGCAGAATTCATGCTATACATACTTAAAATAGAAATCTAGTCAAACTCCTAACAAAAATCATTTAATTCATAATGGCTGGACAACAAATCTATCAAAAATGAACTATTCATTTTGATAGTTACAGGTATACATTAAATACACAGGCATGTTGAATAGTTACTTCTAGAAGCAAATATACAAATCCTTTTGACACCCCGACAGAACTAGAAGATGCTGCCAGATGGATATGGACCACTTCAGTGAATCTCGGATGAGAGCTTGCACTGGATTGGCTGGAGAGCAGGGCAGCCAATCAGGCCATCCTGAGGTCATGGGCTGAAGTGCAGAGGGCAGAGTTCTATGACTTACCATCATGGACTACCCTTTAATTAAAGAGTAGAAAAAAGAACAAAGTTAAATTGAGTTCTCCATTAAAAGTAATTAGTCAAGCCAAGAAAACAGGAAGCAGAAATAAGCATTATTTACCTTTTGATTAAAAAACAAACAAACAAACAAAAAAACAAAAAGCACCAAAACAAACTCATCTCATTATTTTGGAAAGGGAAAATGAAACTTACTTTATTTCTGCTTCTGTTTTTCTGGCTAGGAAAAAAATGTAAAAAAGCAACTTACCAGGCAGTTTGAACCAGGGTTTGATTACGTTCACATTCTAAGACTTGTAAATACATAACAATGATCTGAAGGACAAGGGAAAAAAAACTCAATTTAGCATATCAGTGGTTCTTTCAGAGTAGAGTTCAATGAACATAAGTAACTGACAATGTGAGGTGCAAGTTTTAATTCTCCTATAAACTGCATAAATAACACAGACCAACCTAAAATGTACCTGAGAGTCAACATAGGTTATTATGCTACTAGATTTCATACAGACACACACGTTCCAAAATTGTGCAGGGAAAAAAATGGAAGTTAATCATATCAATTGAAAACAGTATCTAATTCTTCACGAGCACCTTATTATGTGACAGGAACTGATTATTTCACTTAATTTCCCCAGGTACAAAACCCCCAGAGACTGTTAACGTTTTTAAAGTTACAATGGGTATGATACGTATTATGTACAACTCAGTAGGTATTACAATAAGTAATCAAACACTAACTATTCTACAGTGAAGCTTATCACTAAACTGAACTCAAATGAGTTTACCTCAGTTCAGTTCTTTCTGGACCTGTATTATCATCATTCTCATTTTACAATTTTAGAGATACGTAACCTGAGGAACAGAGATACCCACCGAGATCACACAGCTAATGACAGAAGTAAGTTTCTATGTGCAGACAGTCCTGCCCCCAGAGCACCTGCTCTCATAACCATCGTACTACGGCTTCTGTTTAGCATTTCAAGCCAAGAGACACTGGAGAAACCTATGAACATTCAATAATGCTGAAAGTGATCAGCCACCACGCTGAGCATTTCACTATGTGACAGGGTAGCACACTGCCAGGTACTTCTGCAGATACATGTATGATTTATTCCTTGGTTACTATCTAAAAACCTCCATTTTCTAGGTAGGGTAACTGGCATACCTCAGAAACAAGAAGTTATCTATGCCCACACAATGAAGAGGAAGATTTGAACCCAAGTCTTTTTGACTCCCATTTTACTGATAAAATTTCAATATCCAAGAAGCTGCTTTATTTTAAAACCAAGGGTTAACTCAAATACAAATTCATGTAAAATAAAATTTTAAGAAAAACCCTAATACTTACGAATATAATTTCTGTACTCTACAACTCACCTTATGGGGATGCTTGACATGAACACAAAATCCCAACTCCTTTAGCACCCTCCTCTCTGCCTTGATAACTTGATTTTTGGTGTTAATGTAGTTCTGATCAAGGATCAGGGGGCTTGGAGTCCTATAGTTTGTAAGAAATAAAATCAAAACTGTTTTGCACATCCAAAAAATTTTATTTGTGGCATCTCCATTTTCCCTTCCAACCAACTATTGGCAACAGAAACCAGCTTTTTAAACTCCTGCAAACAAGTTAAAAGCATTAATCTTGTGCTGTCCAAGTTATGCTAATTACATATATATTTTCTAGACTAATTCCTATAGAAACTGACTCAACCCTGTAAAGAAAACTCACTCTAATGCTTAGATTTATCCTTAATTTTTTTTATCCAGATATTATTATGTGATAGATACCTTGATGTATTTTCACAAACCTCATTAGTCTCCAAACTCCAATGACAAAACTGATGTGCTCTTGAAAATATTTACTATAAAGACCTCATAAGATTACATTGATTTTACTCATTTTATAAAATATCAATTCTTGGCTAGTTTAAGGCCAAAATTAAATTTAAAGGGAAAATGGGTGGGTTGCTAATCCAGATTCCCCTAAATGGGCAATTAGTTTAAACAAATTAATCTCAAGAATCTATCCCTGTTAGGAAAATAAATAACCTGGAAACTAAAGATTCAGCTCAATTACCAAAGAAATGTTTTAAAATTTTAAAAATCAGATTCAAAACTCAAGTGATCAATAAAAACCAGGCCAAAATGTGGTCAGAATTGTAGTTATTAAGGCAGGATCCTACAAACACAAAGAGAAGGTAAGACCAACCATAATGAGAGAAGTGGAGCACTGAGTCTCTGTGCCAGACTGAATCTTGACAGCTTCAAAAGTTATGATGCAGAAGGGTATGTATCACTGGTTCAACGCTTTGGAAATAACGCTTTCAATTAAAAGCTGTCTTATTTAGGTCTTAAAATTCAAAACTAGTTTCTTAATCAGAAGTTAGTCAAGACTTGGACTTTCATTTAAAACCTTACAGAATGTCCCAACGTCCTCTGATACATTCTTAGATCCAACCAATAAAAAATATGTTTTTATCAAGACTCTGATTGAATGGTATATAAATGAGCAAAATATTTAAGTATTTTCCCCCGACTCAATTCATTTTCAGCCAAAAGATTTAAGAGTTTTTGCTCTGGGCAGAATAAAACATCTAACTTTAAAAGACAGTCATTCTGAATACTGCCCCAACTTACAACTCGTTTTACCATGCACACCAAATCCAGAAAAATGTAAGCTCATACGTTAACCAAAAACCTATATATCCACTTGAAGATTAGAAGGGAATCTGAAATAAACTACATTACCCAGTGGTGATATGCCACCTGAGTAAAAATGAGCTATCATATTTATTATCCTTTCTTTTTTTAATTTAAAATTGTAAAGACTGGAATGCTTACTAGAACTATTTCAAACTACTCTATACTACCTGATTTTTACCTAGTTGGATAAGACAAAAGTTAGCACAGCTGACAAGATGGAAAATAACTTGTTATTTAAACTAATGAAATGCTAAAAATGGCCTTTACTCAATTCTTTGTATAGCTATGAAAGGTGTAAGACAGGAGCCACCAATATGAGGAGGGGACTGATACCTGACATAATAGAAAACCCACTTTATCAGGACAAACAGGCTACAAGTTCACTGTTCTTTGGAAAAAAATCAAATTTAACTCAAATAGAGCAATTAATGTACATATGAAAACATTCCAAAGATCTTAAGGTTTATGATTTTTCAGATGATGTAACAGGCAATTTGGAAAAAGTCAAATCTACTTTAGACTCTTTTAACTGATGAACTAGTTATCTGACAGTCCTCTCATTAGGCATTCACTAGGAGACAGTTCCTCCGGGGTTATAGTTCCACATCACTTTACCTCTTAACCCCATGCAACTCAAGACGGTAAACTGCACCATTAGAATCCTTATATTATTATAAAAGCAGTTTTGTCTCACTTTTTTCCCATTTATGTTTAACAAATTCATTACATCTCTTTCTAAACTTACTTTATTAAACTTCTATTAAAATTCATTCTCTTACAATCAACCAAGGATTTGTCTGAATTACGGCTGTTATCTGGTCCCAAATCAGGTTTCATCATTCATTCTGCTTAAGTGAATTATTTTCCATCTACTCTGCCACAATCTCTGCTTTCCCATTTTTTGTGTCAAAATCTCAACATTAAAACTGATCAAGGAAACCAAATCTATTACAGACTATAATTAAATTACATACATATCCAACTTCTTGCTTAGACCTACTGTTACCTGCAGTTTTCCAAGTTAACTTTGTGGGTGTAAACTCTGATACTTTTATTTTGTTCAGAACTTGTTTTACCTCACAAATGAAAGAAGGCTCAATAAACATGTAATTTTCACTAACTTACAAAGATTATTTTGTATCAGAAATAAAAAAATGTGCCCCCATACATAATAGAGCAGGAAGAAAAGGTTCAAACTGCCTAAGCAAGTGGCTTCTTTGTATTAACAAAGCATCAATTAGTGCTCCCGCGGCAACAAGCACAGCACACGGAATGAAGGCTTGCTCGAATTTCTTCCTCCAATTAGTTACCTTTCCTTTCCAATAAAAGTTTGAAGGGGTAACATTTTAAAATCTTTTTAAAATCTCTAAAAGAAACCACCTGTTCAGAAGAAAAAAACCTTCCAGTATCAAAAAAAACACTCAAAACTAACTCACTCCACCTCCTCTGCTTTTGTCAGATTTTTTTTCAGGTTAATTTATATGAAAAGAACAACTTTCAAATTTTAGTCTTAATATGAAATTTGGGGCTTTGGTCATTTGAAGTTTACTGTCTGGTCTCTCAAAATAGCTATTTTTCTTTTAGCACATTCCTTGAAATACAACCATAGCAACAGATTAAGGATGAGGGGATCCAAACGTGGTTTGTCTCACTCACATGGTACAAAGGACTAAGAAAATTTGGAACAAGTTCTTCAAGAGACTATACTTAAACGAGATCAATAGTTCATAAAAAGGCCGATTGCTGCTCAACATACAGAAACTTGTAACTCCTACTTCAAAGGAACATTCTTTCTTTGGCAGTGTTTAAACAAACTAAAGGCTACTTTTCAGAGCCACCAAAACTGCAGAGGAAGGCTGGACTAAATGACAAGATCACTTTAAGATCCTCCCAACTCTTATCTACGATCTAACTTCATGCTGAAAATACCACACCATATTCACCAATGAGTGGGCTATACCATTCTTTGAATAGTTGTCTTCTTTTAGACAAGTCTTATAGTTTGAAAGTGGGCGCCCTAACACTACAGTAAGCCATTCATGGGCTGGGAATATGCTGCATCTAAAAAGCAAATTAAAATTGGAAACTAATGAACCAAAAAAGCTATCTCCTTCTTTTAAATTCACTCATTCTGAGCTTCAGAAAAAAAGCCATTATCAAACTACAAAAAATTGAAAAGAAAAAAAAAATCAAATAATCCAGGATAGGGCTTGGGCATTAGTTCTTTCTAAAAGCTCCTCTGGTGATTGTAACGTGTAGCCAAAATTGAAAAAGTGACATAAAGGCCACAAAAACGATGCTTCTGTTCACATCATGTCACACTATAATTTAAAGCTATGCATGAACTAAATTAAAATAAATAGCACCATTAAGATAAACTGATACACTTTATGTAACTAAGTGTGATACTGATACTTTCTAACGACATTGACCTATGCAAAAAAATTACTAAGTTATAGTTCTAATAACTTGGACAGCAAAGACAAACGCTTATAACAAGAAACAGGAGTTTTTCTAAATGGTTCACCAGTGGCCAACCTGTTAGTCCCCGATTCCAGTGACCTATTCTCAGAGCACTGGCTTCTCCTTGGGGATTTTCGATACTTCACTCACTGTTGCCATGACGACAGCTTCATCGCTATGTACCACTCCACATCACCCAGGCTTTGGTAAATGTAGCTGGTCGCTGTATAGTCGGTTGCAAGGGAAAAAAGAGTTGAAGTTAATAACATATACAAGCTACCTGTCTGAGTAAACTTGTAATATGCATAGAAACACTTTTACATCCTGCTTTAAAAAAAGGCTTCCATGCAATTAACAACTCCTTTTAAATTTCATGCTATAATGAGACTTCAAACACTGAAACAAAATCAATTTCTCTGTAATAATGACAAAAAAAACTGCACTGTTACATCAGACACGACAGTCAAATCAGGTGAGATGTTTTAAATCCCAAGGTTTTTAATAGTTAAAAGGACCTACTCTGACATCAAGACAGAATACTTTTTTAAGTCTCAAAGAAAAATTTCAAAGTAGATAATCATAAATGATAACAGTTCAATGATTCAAAGAATACTAACAGAAAACTATTTCCTTTAAGCAAACAGAGAATCCTTTGACTAAAAGATAAAGAGCCTTTTTATTAGTGTCATTTTGTTTTACGCACTCTGAAGAACCAGCCAGATCCAAATATAAATTTTGGCTTAAAACACAACAAGCTTTAAATTGAAAGCTTCCCAATTTTCAGGGGTTCCTCATCAAGAAATTAAAGACTTATTTTTGAAATAAAAAATCAGTCTATCCCTGGATATGGTTACAGTGAATAAGAAAAGATGGCAAAATAAAGAATGTAAGAAAACTGAAAAATGCTGTGAAAACCATCTGGATAGCAATGTTTCAGACTCTAAAGTAGACTAGCTTGTCTCTGAATGGTTCCATTACTGCCAACTTAAGGAATCAGCAAAAAAAGACCACTCACACAGGACACTAACTTGGTACTAACACCCAACCCCCAAATAAAATCCTTTTATTAATATCTTCCTTTCAAACTGAGTACAAGTTTCTCTAACATCACAACAGTCCCTTAGAAAGTGAACACAAGAACTAACCTACACCAAGTACATCCTCCCACAACATGTACTAGAAGTCATCTGTAGATGCAGGAAGCACTGCAACTAAAACTTTTTCCGTATGGCCTCACAGGAACACACAGATCCACATCAAGTGTTAGCAGGTACCCACAACACCTATAAGACAGCACTTTTTTGGTCTATTTTCTTAAAAGATCAGCTAAATGGGCCTTATCTAAAGGCAACCCAATCAGTTATTTTTCTAAACCACTCACTGAGACTGTATCTGACCAAAACAAAATACCTGTTTAATCCCTTTTGACTTCAAACTTTACCATCCTTCAGTCCTTTCAGATCCAGTATAATGGGATATTTCGTAGTTCAATGTTGAGAAGTATTCTAACAAAAGCCAACCTCAATTGACAAAGAATTAACTGGGACTTTGGGTGAAAAACAATCTACACAAAACTTTGCCACAATATTAACTTGAACTGCAGTGTTTAAACTTCCAGCCTTCAGTCTTCCAGAGAGGGGAGGGGAAAAATAACTTACAGAATACTCTCACACTTGAGCCCAACGTATTCCCTTTCTTGTTTAATCTTAAACCACAGGACTGGCTTCACAGCACTGTTAGGATTGTCCATAAACGCAACTGCCTCTACAAACTTTAGATAACTGGTTAATGGTGGTTTTTCAAATTAAAGTATCAGCGTGTTCCTATGTGATTTTTAACGCCTAAATTAAAGTCAGTTTTCCTTTGCATCGGTTTTAACTTGAGAGGAAAGAATGTTTTGATCTGATGATTGGTGCACAGTACAGTAGTATCAAGAGATGCTGTGTTCAATAATGCCAATCTTACCTTTTTCCTCTTAACTGGCGTAGATGGTGAAATACATTAATCACATCTCTTATTCTTCTAGGCGCTTCTTCGATTTTTGATGCAAGATTAATACAAGCCATGGCAACAATCTGAAAAGAACCAGGATCCAATAAAAAAAAGTTGTTAGATTATGGTACTATATAAAGTTAGGAAAAGGTGCCCCTCTCAAAGTCTAACGAACTTATTCTGATGATAAAACTTCAGACACAAATGAGACAACTTTTGGTGAAATAAAACTACCACTGACATTTCTAGGCCATAGGCCTACTAGCTACACTAGTATGATACTTCATTGTTACTGCTCAATCCCCCTTCATTTTGAATCCAGAGTCAAGCTCCATCTCACAAAAATTTCGCATTTGGCTGAAAATTCTAATTCTTGATAATAGGACACTAGGGGCCAGGATCCACCTTCTAGCTCTAAAACATTTCAGAAGTCCCTACTTCCCGGTGGGTGAGAGCTGGGTACAAAGGCCTAAACTAACCACTCCCTTTCTGGAAAAGCTGGCTGCTGACACTGCCCCCTCCTTCCAAGCATTTCCGGATGAAGAAATCCCCTTTCACCCGCCCCCGCTCTACTTACCTCGAAACTGTGTTTGACGAAAGATTTGGAGTAGAAAAAACGATGAAACAACACCTGCCCCGTTGCCATCGCCACCTGCAGACAAGAGAGGAGAACGGAAGCACAGGGGTCAGGCGGGCCCGCACCAGGCGCCGCCGCCATTTTGTGCCGCCGCTCGCTTCCCTCCCCCTCCCCGCTGGTCCTCCCGTCGCCCCGCCACCCCGGGCCCCGCCTGGAAAGCCTGCGGGGGGTATCCCCACCCGGTCCCGGGACGCAGCGAGGGGAACGGCGGGGAGGCGCGCCCGGTCGGCCCGGAGCACTGACCTGCGGTAGCCGGAGGAGAATGCCGGCGGCCTGGATGAGCTCACAGCCCAGGATGCGCAAGTCCGTCTCGCTGGGCAGGTCGAGCCCGTCCTGCATGGACGGAGTGGGCGAGAGCCGCTCCTCCGGAATCAGAGAGTGGTCGATGGTGAGCGAAACTTCCGAGTAGAGACGGTCGCCGATCAGAATCCCTCCCGTCGTGGTCGTCGTCGTGGTCGTCGTCCCGGAGCTGGAGCCGCCCGCGCTAGGGGCGGCCGACGAGACGGCGGCGGCAGCGGTCGCGGTCGGGTGAGGCCCGGACGCCATAGTCAGCGAGCTGCACGCACGCCCAACGCAGCCGGAACCCGGACTGAGACTAACCAGCGTCCTCGGCGCGACGGATATTCCCGTGACCGCCGGGTTCTGAGCCGCTTCACGCAGCGTGCGCTTCCGCCCTGACGTCACCACGCCCGGCCGGCGCGCTCCAACGAGTCCCTTCAGGCCTCGTTGGCGCTCGCGCCCGCCCGGGTGCGGCGGACGCTGGGTGGGACCCTCGTGACCGCGCGACCTCTCCGCTGGGGCCCCCTCAGTGGTCTGTTTAGCTAAAACAAGTCGAAGCCGCCTCGTTTCTGATATTTTAAACCACAATAAGAGAGCTTTAAAAGCTTTACCCCCAATTTCTAGTCGGCAAGATTTACAATAACCTCGGTGCGACTTTGATAATTTATCTAGAACGTGCGTCCCTTTGTCCCGGTCTCGTATTCTAACTTTTCGCATCTGGGTGGCGCGGGTTGAGAGTATACAAAGGGAAGCGTCTGGCTGACCTTCGCCCGCATTGGCGGGTGGAAATGGTTCTCTCAGGTCGTGTACCCATGAACTTGTAACTTAAAGTGACCCGCAAGGAATCCGGAGAGGACTGCTTTTCAGTATTTTTAGGAAACGGGAATGTGAACAACATCGGTTCCCAAAAAAAGCTCTTCGATGAGTATGTGGTTCCCAGGGGTATCGAAGTAGGGCGAAAGCTTCGTTATGACTGGGAGGGCGGCTGCTTTAGCAGCTTAGCTTGCAAAACTCAGGCCTGAGCCAGCGACTACGGCACAGATTTCATTAATCTGGAATATCCCTAGTTTCCAAAAATAGTTTTAGGGTGAGACTTTACAGAGGTAATGTGATTATGCCCGGGAGTCTGTGTATTCATACGTGGTTACTGTAGTTTGGTAGTAGGAGGGAAATCAGTCTCTTGTGATTTTTCTTCCTCTGATGTTAGCAATGCTCCAAATTTCTTTAGATTTAACAATGAAACTGATCCAAACTACTAGAGTCTAGAATTAGAGAAAAAGGAGTAGATCTTGGTTTATTCCAGCCTTTTTTTTTTAATACCATTCTTAGACCTCCTCGGAGACATTGTCCATGGGTGTGACGCCCCATTGCCTTTATTACGTCGCTCAGTTTTAAGGCTTAATTTGTTTAATTATGAAAAGTGCATTGAAATTTGGATCTATAGAGCAAAGGGAGTTTGAATACATTTCAATATTGTCAGTGACGTCACTAAAGCAAAACATATTCAAAAACCTCATTAAAAAAAACATTAAATCAACCTTTGTTAAGACTTACATCTGTAGTTCTGAATCCTGGCTGCAGCTTTGGATCTTCTGGAGGGGTTTTAAAACACACTGATGCCCTGAGCCTTACCTGTAGGAGGTGATGTAATTGATCTGGGGTGGGCCCATGCTCCAGTGATTGGAAGGTGCAGCCAGGACTGAGAAACATTACTCTAAGAGAGTGCGGTTCTGGTGCTGGTTAAAACACTGGACCTCTCTGTATGTTACCTCCTTCCCCTTTCTGACTAGGCTGCTTCCCAGGAAACTTCCCTGTCCAATATTCAGCAGGGATTTAAAATACTGTAACAAGCATTGAAACCTTTAAAAACTAATTGACGATATGTGATTTTCCTGGTTCTGAGCATCCAGTATAGCTATGTAAGACAGTGTCACTGCGGAAAGCTGGGTGAGTGGTGCACAGGATCTTTGTGCTATTTTTGCAACTTCTTTTGAGTCTTCAATTGTTTCAAAATAAAAAGTAAAAAAAAAAAATAATTGGTAATATGCTTCACTGAAACAATGAGCCTCAATTAAATCACCACCTCTATTTGTAATGACTTGAGAGTAACATAACTCATTTTTAAGACTATTGCTTAATGGGACAATTTTCTAACATTTAGAGGGTCTCCCACCATGCCTCTCCAATAAGCTGACTTTGTGATGTCTTGATATGTTTTGTATTTTTAATCTCTAGGTCCATGATTAATCTAAAAAAGTTCCCAAGCATAGGAGTGAGAAGTTCTGGGAGAGGGAGGGGTTATTTGCTCTATTCCTGATATCTTTTCCCAGCGAGCCTCCCTGTTCCCCACCTTCTGTGTCTGGTAGTCATTTCAGAAGAACAGAACTACCCAGACTATTCCACAACTTTGTGCCCATTTCTCAGTCCCTTCTGACTGCACCCCAAATTATATCCACTAGATATGACCATTTTCACTATTCCTTCATTAAGCTTCAACAAAGGTGGTAGAGGAGATGGGCCAACATTTTATATGCTTAGCAGTAACTCATCAAACTGTGATGTTATTTTTCATTTTAACTTAAAAAAAAAATTCCATGACTAATCCAAAAGGTGGAAACTAATGGGTCTAGTGGCTCTGCTCCACAAGGTTGTCTAAGGACCAATGTTAAAAAAAAAAAAAATTATGACTATCCTTTTAAGGGTCGAATTTCAGAAAATTATGGTTTGGAAAACTTGTTACATTATTTCTGAGTTATTTTGAAGGAAGTTGTTTTTCCATGTACTGACTTCCAAAACATCAACATTAAAAATGTGGAAAGACTAAGACATACTTAGTTATAAAAGATCCAGAATTGGAAGGGGTAAAGCATGTTTTAATCGTATGAAAGCTTTAGTAGCAATGAGTTCAGGCAAGTGAGACTGTTCCATTAGGAAGGTAAAAGATCGAGTTGTCACTGGAAGAAGAAACAGAATGGTAAGTCTAATACATTTTGTGTATTCTTTCTCAACCAACAGAGGTCCTGCTAGTAGACCCTGAGTTCACCCATGTCTAAAAGGAAATCAGTGATAACTAAAATTGCATTTTTAGTTATCAAGACCTGCAGGCTTCTGACGATGTCTAAAGAGAAAAATGGAAATATCTGTGCCCCCCTGGGGCTACTGAACAATCATATTCCTGATGCTTAAATCAGTTCTCTTTACAGTAGTCTCTGTAGCCTCTCAGAGGAGCATGTTTTTTCATTATTATTTAAACTTTCAGGTTTTTTAATCCTAAAATTATGATTGGTATAATTTCATTAATTTCTTCAGCCATTGGTTAACCATAAGTAGACCAGCAGAGTTTAATGATACAGCACTGTAATTTAGGCAAAGGGTAAATGAAAGTCCCCACTTAGAGGGTAAGAAGGAGCTACCCTCTAAATAAAGGGAATGGTACACAAAGACAAATGTTAAGGCAATCAGTAAGTGCAAAAAGCAGGCAAAGAAGGCATAACTCATCATGGTTAATGTCAACAGGGAGAACTTATACACTTAAGTTGCTATTCAAGTTTCTATTTACAGCAGAAATCAGAGAGTATCTGACTTCAGGCATGAACTATTCATATAGTTACATGACTGTTTTTCCTTTATTCTCATGGCAGTTATATTACAATATATTCTGGTCAGGTTGCTCTCATCATTAAAAACAGTCATTCTGAAAATGACATATATGTAATTAACACTTAGGCTTATACTGCTTGGTAAATCTCACAACAGCCCTGGCCTGTACATTCTGCTGCTGGCTCTGCTGAGAACTAGTTCTGACACTTAAGCAACACAGTTTTCCCTTTTTTTAAAATGAGGGAGTCCAACTGGGCAGGTCTAAAATGCTTTGACTTTGGTCATCCAGATATCTTGACTCATCTTTGGTTATTTCTTCTTTATTGTAAAGATGTCCTGTTGTTCCTTCCTTCAAGGGACGAAATTGTTCTTGAATCTGCCTGTTCTGTCTATGTTACTCTATCTGCTGTTATCTCATGCCTGGACCATTACAGTAGCTTTTTAAATGGTCTTCCTGCCTCCAGTCTCTCCCATCTTTTATTCATCCTGGGACATCTCTAAATCACTCTTGAAATACATTTCCTTCTTCTACTTTCTCCAAAAAAAAAAAAATGTTAGCGATAAAAGACAGATCAGACACCTTTTGTCAATTGAGGCTTTCCACGATCTAAACTTACCTTGTCACTTCTTTCGTTACCCCATTACCATCTCACCTAATTCCCCTCTATGTCTCAACTTGAACTGAGACCAGCTGGACCTGTCTCTTCATCAACACTTTACCTTCCTGATTTCACACTTACCCTCATTTTGTTTCTCAAGGCTGCAACATTCTTACTCTTCTGTTAATCCTTTTTTTCTTTCTGAGAGACAGAAGAATTTTTTACATTTTGCCAGAAGCCTTCTTCACCTGATCTAGCTCTTATTAGTTTCCCCTTCGTTGGACTCACACCTAGCTTTTATGACCTTGAGTATACATTTTGATACATGATTTCATATATCATGCATCATGCACTTGATCACTCCATGGGTCAGTATATTGACTCCTTAAAAATAGGACCATTTTTGCATTTATTTTGCATTCTCCACAGAACCTGATGGACACTGTGTATGTGGTAGATACTTAATCAGAATTTGTGGACTGAATTGCATGTTTTTCCCCAGTGCCTTGTATAGGTAGCCTGATCTTGCCTTTTCCTTTCCATCCAGAAGCCAGTTCCATCCTGAAGTATCTTACTTCTACCACAACCCTCTCTCCCTAATAGGGAGCCACAGGCCCCCATTTATCCTGTTATTTCTGGAGCACTTTGTACAAATCAGCCTTGTTTCCACTTCTGCTCTGTGTCCTTACAGTGGGCTACTTAGACAGCCTACCACCTCTGTTCTATACAGGTCTGGGCTGCACAACAGGAGGCCTGTTGGAGTTGCTATACCCAGAGGTGTGGGGGGAAGAGGGGTACAGGAGCTCACAGAAAGCAACACAGTGAAGTCCTTTGGTGTGTGAGTGTGGGCAGAGGCTCTGAGTTTTTGGAGGTGTGTCCAGAAATTGGGCATGTGTGACTAAGAGTTAAGGCCAGTGCCAATTTGATAAACTGCACTATAAAGCCAACAAAACCACAGGTTTGCTTTTGGAGCTAAAGTTACTATCTAGTCTCATCTCTTTTTTTTCAAGTAAGGAAACTAAGGTCCAAAGAGAGGCTGCAAATAGTAGCTACTCAGTAATTATCTGTGGATTGCAAACAATCCAGTCAAGACGGCCTTTGGATGGATTCATTCTTTATGGTATTTAATGTCAGAAATTGGCCAACTAGTCTTAGTTTTACTCAGCAATTTAAGAGTAAGGAGAGCTTGTTGGCATGACCTCCATATAGACCACATCAAGGGAGTGTGGCCCCGCCAACACCTGGACTTTGGCCCAGGGAAACTGATTTAGGACTTCTGCTTTACAGAACTGTAAGATAATGTAAATCTGTGTTGTTTTCAGCCACTAAATTTGTTATAATTTTAAATAGCAGTTATAGAAAACCAATGCAGTGAGATTTGCCATTTCCTGATATTCTTTAAGAAATGCTTCTCAAACTGTAAGATGCATACAAATTACCTGGGTGGAACCTGAGAGCCCCATTTCTAAAATACCTCCCAAGTGATGCTGAGGCTGCTAGCTGAAGAGCTATACAGCAAGGCTTTAAAGCACGTTAGATGATCTTATCTCTTTTGCTAATCTCAGTATGGAGGAAGTAAAACCCAATGGTTAAGAGTCCTGGAGGCTCCGGAGTTAACTTACTGGGGGGAAAAAAATCCTGTCATGCTGCAACTTCAGGCAAATTACTTAATTTGCTTCAATTATTTAGGCACTTAAAAGTTCAGTTTTCTCACCAATAAGATGATACTAAGAACACCTACCACAAACTGTTGTTGTCAGGTGAAATGGTTATATGTTAATTAATTTTCTAGTCATTGGAAATGCAAATTATTTACCTGATGTTGGCCAATGGTTGATGCCTGTTGTTTTGGACCTAAGGATTTTGGTCTGCCAGATGTGAACAGTTTGTATTCATTCATTCATTTTTAAACTCTTATTATTTATTGACAACTAAGTACCAGGCTCTATTCCAGGCATTGGGGATATGGTGACGAACAAGACAGAGTTTGCCTTCAAGGAGTTTGTAGATGATACAGATATATAAATGTGATACTTCTGGTTAATGCTTTAAAAAAGGAAAATAAAAAGGATATCTGAGATAGATTAATAAGTGAACAAAAGGAAGTTCCAGCACAATATGTATATTGTGATTCCTTTTATATGAAATTAACTACATATATGATGAATTACTAGTAAAATAAAAATGCAAGCCTGTATTGTTTACTATTAGATTCAACAGACAAAATTATTCAAATAACCTTAACAATTTTGAGACATACACTCTCAATTTCTGTACTTATTAAGGACCATAACAAATAGTTCAGAGTTTGGTGCCAGTCCATGGGCCACTCTGAGTGGTACTACTCTTTGAATTTTTCAGTAGTGAACATATGTAACTTGTATATTTGCAATTAATTAAAAATCCAATTCGGTATGATAACAACAGGAATAGGTACAAGGTAAAGAAATGGTTCTGTGGATGGGGTAATTCTATGAACAAAGCAGCTGGCAAACAGGAGGCAATATATGATCTGGGTTTCAAAGG